CGCTCCACAGGGCGCCGATGGTCTCGAGGAGAGAGCGAATGTCCGGTTGGCGAGGGTTGAGCACAGCTGCATACGACCACTTATCCTCACCTTCGCCTAGGTGCTTGAGTATGTCCTTGACGGGCCGTCGGAGAGCGGCTTGAGGGCCTATCTCGACGAAGAATTTGGGGGCTTGCTTTTTCTCGCTGACCAGCGCTGTTACCGCATCGGTAAAGAGTACTGGTGAGAGCAGGTTCTTCACCCAATAGCTCGGACTCGCAAGACCCTCCGGAGTGATGAAGTTGCCTTCGGTGGATGAGAAGAAGGCGACAGTGCTCGGCTCTTTGCCCTCCCTCGTCGGTGCGCGTATCCCAGCCAGCAAACTCTCATAGTCCACCGCGCCATCGCGCAACGCCTCGGAATGATACCCGATCTTCACGGGTAGTCTTCGCGCGAAGACCTCATCAGCATCCAGCGTGTCGAATAAGCGCGAGGTAGCCACCGTGGGACCCGACAACGTGACGTTGACAGGACTGTTCTCGCATGCCACAGTCACCGTTGGTTCGGCCTTCAAATACGTCTGAACAGCCTCCTTGCCCAAACCTACAGACATCATCGTTGTCGACTGTCTCGCTGGGTCAGACGCCAGCTTATCGGCGACAACACCGCGGAAGTAGGCCACTCGCCACGCACTCTCGCGATCCAGTCCACCTGCACAGTACGCAGCTGCAATTTCACCCGACGAATGTCCAACCACAGCACGGGGGATGATACCCCATGTGCGAAGTAGATCGATGAGCGCCACTTGAATAGCTGTACAGAGAGGTTGTGACAGCGCTGGCTTGGACACCTGACTCGTGTCCTCGTTCTTCTCGAGCTCCTCTAGCACAGACCAGGTGCTACCGAGAGTAGCAAGATACGCGTCGCAGACCTGGAGACTCTGACGAAAGACGGGATAATGCAGGAGACCGGCCGCCATACGGGCATACTGTGCGCCTTGCCCTGTGAACACGAAGGACAAGTCAGGGGCCGAGGAAGTACTGCTGAAGATGCTGGGCGAGACGATAGTGGTGAGATCGTCGGTAGGGGATGAGATGACGGCGTAAGACCGGAATTGGAGAAAAGACCGGTGAGAGGATAGGGTATGTGTTAGATTTGAGAGGAAGTTCGCGGTGGTGGGGGCTTCGTTTGAAGAGAGAAACGTCTGGAGGGCTTCTGCTTGGCGCTTCGTGCCGTCGCTGTCTGCAGCTGAGAAGGGGATGATGGCGTTTGGAGTTGTGAACGGGAGAACGCCGTCGCCATTACCGTTCCTGTGTCCATTTTTGTGGCCGTTGGTATGTATGGACTCTCCGACAGATTGGTGCAAACCTTGAAGGCCGTGGGTGCGCAGGTAGTTGTATGCGTCGTCGAGGATGACATGGGCGTTGCTACCTCCATAACCGAAGGAGGAGACGGAAGCCCTGCGAATTTCTGTTGCTGGCCATGGGACTGCTTCTCTTGGGAATGCGAGCTGCAGGCCAGTTACATCGATAGCAGGATTCGGCTTCTCGAACATGGCAATTGGCGGAATCACCGCATTCTCCAGCGCGAGAACGGCTTTGATGACACCGGCCATACCCGAAGCGCCCTCCAAATGACCGATGTTCGCTTTCACAGATCCCATGTAAAGCGGTCTGTCCGCCTTACGACCATCGCGGAAAGCCTGCCCTACAGCTGCCGCCTCAATAGGATCACCAACCGGCGTGCCAGTCCCATGAGCTTCAACGTAGTCGGTATCAGCAACATTGAGCCCTGCAACACGATACGTATCCCGCAGCAAATCCAGCTGTGCCTGCTGGCTCGGCTGTGTAATACTCGGCGTCCTCCCATCCTGATTCGCACCCGCCGCCCTAATGACCGCCCTGACAACGTCGCCATCCCTCAGTGCCGCATCCAGCGGCTTCAGCAAGACGAAGCCGAACCCCTCGCCCCTCGCGTAGCCATTCGCCTTGGCATCAAAACTATAGCTCTTTCCATCCACGCTCAGAAACCCGCCGTTACTGAGTGCAAGCGCCTGGCTCTCGGGTGTGATGAATGTGTTTGCGCCGCAGACAAGCGACATCTTGCTCTCTCCCGCAAGAATACTTTGCGCACCAAGATGCAGCGCGTACAACCCTGATGAACACGCCGTATCGACCGTCAAACTCGGCCCTGCGAGATCGAAGAAATGACTAATGCGGTTACTCAGCATTGACGACCCGTTCGCAGTGGCATGATACCGGGACTGCGCACTAAAGTCTCGACCTGTTATTGTCTCGCCGTCGCGGGAGAAGGAGGCGCAGTAGACAGATGTGGAAGAGCGAGAGAGTGTTTCCATCGGTATTCCGGCGTTTTCGAATGTGCGGTAGGCGCCTTCGAGGAGGCCGCGTTGTTGCGGATCGAGGACTGAGGCTTCAGCGTAGGACATGTTGAAGAAGGGAGCGTCAAAACTGCGGGGGTCTTCTTCCATGAAATGGGCGTGGCGGATGCGTAGGCTGTCCAGACGGTTTGGGTCGGGATGGTAGAATGCTGTTGGTTCAAGTCAGCTTGGGTCATTTTTGCTTCCGTGGGGAGAATGATTGCATGCCATCTATGTTGAAGCGGTCGGCGGGTATCTCTTTGGACACATTTCGAGCACTCATTATCAGTTCCCAAAAGGAGGAGGCGGATACGGCGTCGCCTGGGAACTTCATGTTCATGCCGATGATGGCTATGGGCGTTGTCTTGTCGGTAGTAGCCATGATTGCGGTATTTGGTATAGTACTCAAGCTTAACGGATATAAGCTTTGCCAACGTCTTATAACCTCCTTGCCAGGTGCAGATGCTCCTAGACTTGACAATAAGGTTTGTGGAAGATTACCTGAAATGGTCGCAAGTACAATTTAAGTCTGGGAATTCGATGCGTGCAAGCTTGATTCGTTGAAAAGACGGTCACGAAGCTTTGCTAAATACAATGGACGTCTCGCCGAAAATCGCTTTCATCTTGGTCACGACCCATGAGTACCTTCCTTGTCTCAAAGGACCAGAGTAGCTACCATGGTGCCAGGCACATTACCGTATGTGGAGACGCTAAACCGGCCAGTACCGCATGCGATTGTGCCCACCTCGGTGGCTGTTGAACCGGCCGGACTCTATGAATTGTGGCTAGGGCGTAATCCGGTGGCTAGGTATTACTCCGGTGGTTAGGCCATAGCTCGGTGGCTTTACGTATGATACGAGTACGATTCAGGGACCGTTTTGACCCACAAATGCAAACACCTCACCTTCGAGGGCTCACCGCTGCCACTAAAGTCGTCCAGATAGTAACGTGTTCTGATGATGGATCACAAACAGTATCTCCGAATTCCAACACAACGCAGTCGACATGTCTTTGTGGGACCGAATCAACAGTCGCCTTACCTTCCAAAGCGGTATAGGCTTCATGTACCGCCAACTGTTCATGCATCCTCCGCCAATCGCAGCAGGAGTCACTCTTGAAGGTCAGACAGCCATTATCACCGGCGCGAATACCGGCCTGGGGTTCGAGGCAGCGCGACAGCTCCTCCAGCTAGATCTCTCTCGGCTCATTCTAGCCGTCCGATCGCAGGCCAAAGGCGACGTTGCAGCAGAAGCCCTCCGCAGGGAGTTTATACGCGCTGAAGTCGAAGTCTGGATCCTAGATATGGAAGATCCCGAATCTGTCGCGGCGTTTGCCAGACGATGTCAGACTCCGGGTAGGCTGGACATGGTCGTTTTGAACGCCGGTGTGCAGAACAAGGACTATGTTGTCTCGCCCAAGACAGGCAAAGAGCAGACTTTCCAGGTCAACTATCTTTCGACTATCATGTTGGCGGTGCTTCTCCTGCCGATATTGAGAGCCAACACCGGGTTGGTGGGAAAGCCGGCGAGACTCACAGTTGTAACGTCGACGACGGCATATTTTGCGGATTTCGACAAAGGGAAACCAATCTTGCCGCAGTTCGACGAGAAGTATGATGTTACGAGATGGTATGCGCGCGAGAAGTTGTTACAGATGATTTTTGTGAGGAGGCTGGCATCGCTTGTGAACTCCGATGAGGTGATTGTCAACACAGTTTGTCCTGGGCTGGTAGGAGAAACGGAGATCTGGCGTACATTGAAAGCAAACGCTGTCATGAGGTATATGTTGATAGTGTACTTCGCTTTGTTTGGTAGAAGTTTGGCAGAAGGTGCCAATACGTATGTTCATGCTGTAGTGGTAGCAGGCCGAGAAAGCCATGGGGGCTTCTTGAGTGAGTGGGGAGTACGTCCGTAAGTCGAGAAACTGCAACGATGCACTCTGACTGAGGTTTTCGCTGACACTGTCGTAGTTATCCCGTTCTGATGTATTCGAAACGTGGTGACGATCTGGAAAAGAAGGTTCTGAGCGAAACCAGGCAGATTTTGGAATCCATGAACGTTTCGCACAGCGCAATCCAAGGCTTTTAGTTGGGAGGGTCAAATTAAACTGCCATATCGCAGTGCCAAAGATATTGACGTCATCAAAACGCAGGTAGCTCTTTCCGCATCAAGTCTTCTTACTGGTGAAGTTGTGCTGGTCGAAGATACCTTGTGTAGCTACAATCTAGCCCGTAAAATAAGTGGTAGCTGCGTTCGAATGATTGAAGAAGAGAGATGTTGTTGTTCGCGACGCGACGCGACACGACGCGACAGATGGCGGGACGAGATCAATGCCAAGCCCACGGAGCCTCGGCTCCAGCTTCCGAGGTTCCTGCCTCCCGCCTGCCCATGGGCAGAGAACACCTGAGCTTCATCATCAATGCAACCTCAGCTGTTCCCACACCACATCTCTACTCCGGATCTAATTTCTCTCGTCTGAGCATAAGCCTCACGTCCAAAGGCGGTTGCACGTAAGATGCGCGCACGCGTTGATCGTGCCATGGTTGTTCAAGCCACTCGCGGTCCACAAGCTCAATATCGTACTTCCACAGCAGCCGGGCCAATATCTGCTTTATCTCGGAATGTGCCAAGCTAGTCGCGAATTCTTAGTCAGCGAAATCTTTCGTATTGATACCGGAGACAGGACGTGGCGTACTTGTGACCGATACAGCTGCGTTTTCCTGTCGAGAAGGGCTGGAATGCCGCTCTCTTATCCGCTTCGAAGCGAGGATCTCCGAGCCAGCGCTCTGGGGCGAAAACTTCTGGTTCCGTGAAGTTGGCTGGGTTATGATACATTGCCCAGTGCCAAATGTCCACGCAGGTCTAGGTTTTCCCCATTGCAATCAGCGACGTGCTCAGAATTTTACAGAAGGATTTGCGGGAATGCTTTGGATACTTACCCCTCCGGGCAGAAAGTGCCCCCCGACGACCTCGCCATTGCGCTGAATCAGTCGTGGCACTGAGCCTACGGCAGCCGGATGAATACGCAAGGTCTCGTCTATGACAGCCGAGAGGTATCTGAGACGCTGCGCACTGAGGAGTGTGATCTGTTCTTCGCTATCGAAAGATGCGTCGATCTCTTTCCTTAGCTTAGCGAGCGTCTCAGGGTGGGTGCAGAGGAGATAAGTTGCCCCAGCAAGTCTGACTCAAGAGATGGTTAGTACATTGATACTTCCAATCAAATTGGGCAAAAGAGGAAAGCTTCGTCATACGCAACTGCAGTTGTTTCGGACCCGGCTACGACGAAGATGCTCGCGTTATGGCAGATTGCCTCAAGGGAAAGGCCCTATCGCCCAGCCGTTAGATCCGTGAGCGGAATTGGGACCAAGACAGCATTATGGATGCACTCACGCATTTTCCCTGAGTATTGTCGGATTTCATCTCTTCAATGAAGTCCGGCCGGCTGGGCTCCAAAGCTAAACGCTTCGCAACTTGAGTACGCATGAACAGATTATGCTTCGCAATGATCTTCTTGGCAAACATTCTAACAAACGGGCTTATCATTGCCTCCAACAACGGATACGCCCGCCGGAAGTGTGCCATGTCATGTTGCGCAACGAAGAACTCCAATATTGTCGCAACCCATGGATGAAAGTCCCTTCGCTCCATATTCGCAAAAGACTCGCCGAAGCTGAGATCGCCAATGACATCAAATGAGAAGAAGTTGAACCACTTGGCCAGATCCAGGGATCGACCTTCGGTGCAGTGCTCTCCAAAACAGCTGAAGAGTTGGTCGACATGGTGGCGGATGATACGCTCCTGGCGCTGTATGCCTTGCCCGGAGAACGCGGGCGCTAGCAGACGACGTTGATATGTGTGAGATTCTGTGTCGGCCCCGATGATACCTGAGGCGACTTCGGCTACGAAGCCTGGGTGCTTGAGGTTCTCTGGCTGACTGGGCTTACGATGCCCGTACACTTCTTTCCATGCTGTTGCGTGGAGGCATGACACTGAGTCTGGGCTTGTGCGGACAACGTCGCCGTACCTCTTGTGCAATGCCAGGATCTGTTTGTGTGGCGTGCTCGACCATGACATCAACAGGAGTGGGAGTGGCGATACAGACCACAGGAAAGGTCCGGGCACTTTCCTAAGTGGGTTAAAGTAGAGATTGTATATGACGGACCATACGGTATGCCCAAAGACCTGTAGCGTACGTCAGTTGAGGTATCTTACGTGTCATTTGTCCGGGGTTAATACGGCGCATAGGGCTACTTCTAACAATATCCAGATTGAGAGGAGCTCCTGATGCTCCGTGAGGGCATCAATAAACCATGTCCTTGCGGAGCCCATTGTGCGCGCAATGAAGAAAGTTTGATATCAACGCTCTTTGGCAGTGTATACGAATACAAAATACGGTTTGTGTCAGCATCCCATGCACTGGAGAAGATAATTGCCGAGGTCGACAGCTCAACACGTGCAGTTGCGAAGTCAACTATAGAAGACGATTGCACCGGCCCTTACATTGCATGCCGTCTCAATCCTTCCCATACGGCTAAGTCGTGGTCTCCAGCCAGGATCATGCATCTGCGGCGGAGTAGTGCAATGCTCCCACCCACGCTCCGTGGACCCTTCGACTCATTGCCGACTACAGATATCCGGTCGCCGTTGTTGCACGTCAGCCAGCACCTAAGGTACCCACAGAGGAGCCGACGCGGCCGACGGACGAGTTGGTCACAGAATCCAGATCAACCATGGCGGTGTGAGGCTAAGGCCGAGGAACGTTCCGACAACAGCAACTAGCAGTTTGAGTACGATGATACACGCTCGGTAGATTTCTAGTTGCATTCTACGGCTAGAGTGACAGAGGCGTAGGGAACGGCCCGAGCATGTCTGCAGTTGGCACTATTACGCTTTGGGATTTCGGTCTCTGTGCGCACGGACGCGACACCCTCCAGCTAGATCGGCGGTGGCTGGGGTATCATCTCAACCACTGCCGACTCCGTCTTTCCATGCCTCACCACCGACGCGATCATCAGCCCCGCCTTCGCAGCAAGCTCGGCAAACGCCTTTTCACTGCGCACCTTTCCGCCGATGTTTAAGATGAACATGTCGACCGTGCTAGTGTATACACTAGGCTGTTCAGGGCGCAGATACTCAGCAATCAACACGCGCGAGTCGTCCGCGCAAGCCGCGCGCACGTTCTTTAGAATCTGAAGAGCTTCGTGATCGGACCAGTCGTTCAGGACGCGACGTATGTAATACACGAGAGCACCTAGAGTGGTCCGTCAGCTTGTTTCATGGCGCAAGTATCGTGTATTCTGAGAGGATAAAACTCGATTTCCGTACCTTTGGTGGGCTGTTCTCCAAAGATGCTGTGCCCAATCTTCTTCACCGGACCCAAAACAGCAGAATCTTTGTGCTCTTCCTCCGCCTCAGCGATGACATGCGGCTGATCCTGCAGGACACACCTGGCAGCAGGAATGGCAGGCGTCTCCTCCAAGATAGCCTTCAACGCCTGACCTTTCCCTCCGGCAACATCAACGATCAGCTCCCTCTCCGAACCGACATTTCCTGCGGCAAATGCAGCTACCCAGCCAAAATCATACACCCCCGTAACAGGAATATCACCGTCAATGGCCATCACCCCATTCATCCTTGTGGCCAACCCCGGGATCGCCGCCATGATTTCATACGCTGTCTTATCGGGCATGCCCAGCGCAAATCCTCCCGGCGAACGATTAGATCTAGCCGGCTCAGCGAGCCCGTTCGCCTCGAAGTAGTCTGTCCACCGCGTCGTTGGCCCCATAAAGAAGTCGAAGAGGTACGAATAGAATTGCGCGACGCGGGGGTCAGTGAATGCTTCTGACGCCGGTGTATGCGCCACACGGCCAGGTTCCGGGCTAGTCAGCATGCCAATAGCGAGAAAGAAGGCCGTGAAGCGCTCCAGAAGTTTGTACTCTATGCTCAGTTTTTCCGTAAGGTCTTTGAGAGAGATTCCCTCTTCTGGAATGGCGTCGAAGATGCCGTGCTCAACGAAGACGCGCAATACGCCCATCTCCGCCATGGATGCGAAGTATTTGCCGATTGGCGTCTCGGCCAGAGAGAATTCGGCAGCCATGTTTGGGTACTGGATGAATGAGAGGCAACACTGAACGGAACGCGATGGTTGGTCACCAGAATCCACGATTGTGCGAAGACGTCGAATAAAGCTACAGAGCCAAGAGATCGTGCACGATAAGCAAGAGTCCTGGTCCTGCGAATTAGGTTTGTGTGGAATGCCTGTACTGGTAACGCCTCATTCCCGTCATGCGAGTGACCGCACTCGACATTACAGTAGCCCCGCTAGGTTTCCTGGTATCGTACCAAAATGAAACACGAATCAGAAGCCCACGAGATTAGCCATAGGAATTCTACCGAGCTCTCGACTAGACATGGGCCCATGCCCCAAGCAGCCGAAAAGGCCCTTCTTCGTACCGGCAGTACCCGTTCTAGCTCGATTCACCGCAACAAGTCTCCCACGTGTTCTCGACACGTATCAGAACTCCTGCATGCAGTTGTGTGTACCTGGGAAGAATTGTAGCGGTCTAGAGGGTTGAGACGCAACCAATGTCACTTGGTAGCATTCCGTCCGACTGGTACCGCCTTCACGACAAATTTGGCATAAGAAAGAAACTGGAAATACTGGAACGTCAACCTGGCGTCCATGCTTCAATACACGTTTGAATCGAGTGTTGACATCTAGTACGCGATCATCGAACTACTGGTGACAGCACTCGTTTTCCCAAACGCGTCTCTCACAAGCTCCTGTACCCAGTTCGGCAACCCTTTCAACCATGAGATAGGCGCCGCGATACTAGGAATGAACAACTGAGCACCACGCCTGCTAATGATCTGCATCACTATGACCTCAGCAACTTCCTCTGGCATCAACATCTTCTCAAGAATCTTTGGGTCTTGGCCACTTCTCAAGACCATCTCCTCAATCAGGGGCGTGCGGACCCAACTCGGATGCGCAATCGTAGTCTTGACACCCGAAGCTTTGTACCAGATTTTAAGCTCGCTCGTAAGACCCTCATGGAACGCCAAAGCCGCGGTCTTGGTTGCCACATAGTCCGCATTAGCCGAGTTCGTCAGGAACGAGTTGACGCTCGCGACTGTTACGATATGGCCTTTGTTCTTTGCGACCATGTCCGGCACAAACTGTTGAACTAGCCGCCAGTGGGAAAGAATGTTCGTGTCGAAGATACGGCTGAGGAACTCGCTCGGCGTTTTCAAAATGGTGTGAGAACCCGTGATGCCGGCGTTGTTGACGAGAATTGATGGACTGCCAAGGTCTTTGCGAATCTTCTCGGCTGTTTTTGCTATCGATTCAGGGCTGGAGATGTCGCACCGGAAGTATGTCGACAAGTTGTTCGATGCGGATATCTTGGGCGCATCCTGCACGTCGAGCACTGCCACGCGAATTCCATGAGAAGTGAGAGATTCTGCGATGGCTTTGCCAATTCCACTGCATCCTCCAGTGACCACTGCGATCTCAGTAGGCCAGTTCCAGCCACGACCGGCATATATTTGCCAGTTATTTGTTGCCCACGCGTTCAGAGCTGCATTGGTCTTCCTGACTATACCGATAGCAGCTAGAAACCCCAGTACGCGGAGCAAGTTGTATTCATCGACGATATGCGAAAGAGATGTTGCTTCCAAGGCGCAACTCCATGTCTTCTCTGGGGCGTATAGCAATAAGCCAAAAAGAGGGCCGGTAACGATGGGCTCGAAGGCGCATTTGGCAATGAGAGCTAGCCCTCTGAGGGGGGAGTCGCCCAGTGCAGCCATAGATACCTCAGCAGTTGTTCCGGGAGATAGAGATGGTTACCAGAATACTGACATCCTCGACCATTCGGAGCTAGAGTGTTACAACCTGAGCCGGAGGCTAGTACAAAAGTACTGTGGCTAGGACACGATTCACTGGCTTCATGGAGCTTGCCGTTGCACGGCAGAAAGCTTACCGCAACGTTTATGTATAGCCCTATCCGAAGTCGTTCCGTTAGCTCCATCCGCAGTACCCCCAGATCAGCCTATCCGAAGTCATGCCGATCCGACGTCACCCCGAATCGACGCACCTGGAGCCCATCCAAGCGGCTTCATCTCTGATCTAGCCATGGTGAACGATTTTGACTAATCCATAACCCACTTGGAGCCTCAGTACCTTGTTGATCGTGGTCCAATCCGTTGGTTACCTCCAAGTTCCTAGCGAGTCTAGCGCTGGAGTCGAATTAGATGAGCACATACATCGTGTGCCGGTCCTTACACACCTAGAGGAAGACGTTGCATCCTATATTCATCAAGACTTTCATCTGGCCAGTAACCAACCACGAAGATGGGCGTTCTAACTACTATAGAGGACGATATCTCAAAGTTGCTGTTGTACGGCGCAGTGACGATTGTCTTCCTTATTATTCTAGCCTCAAAACTGAAAGATGGAAACAAGACGAGATCATCAATTCCGCATGCTCCTCGCCTCCCGTACAAACTACCCTTTGGTTAGCAGTTTCCGCGTCACTTGGATATGACGGTGAGACTGACCACCTCATGAACCACAGGACTAGACATGGCATGGAACCTAATAACGCGCCTTCACTCCAACACCTTCGTCGAATACATCTGCGACGAAGTCCTCTCCATACCGGGCCGCACAGTCGAAATGAACCTACTAGGCAGCAACATTTTCATTACCGACCGAGCCGAGAACATCAAGGCCATCCAGGCAGATCAGTTTACGGACTTCGCGAAAGGCCAGACGCCACATGATGTGTTTAGCAGTATCTTGGGGGACTCAGTGTTTACCACGGACGGGCCTTTGTGGAGGACGAGTAGGGAGCAATTGGAGCCGCACGTGTCGAGAGTGCGCCCGGATGATATTCCTACCGCTGAAGTCCACATGCAGAAGCTTTTGAGATTGATCGAGAACTCACCAGAAAGGGTGGATGTGTACGACATGGTCGACAGGTTCCAACTCGACCTAGTCTCCCAAGTCTTTCTCGGCGAATCCACAAACTCCCTCTCCGCAGACGAGCAGCCCTTTCGCAAAGCCATGGAAGAACTTCTTACGTTCAATACGAATCGTCTCCTTTTCGGACGTCTCGCAAACCTCTTTCCCGACTGGCTCTTTGCACCAAGAGCATACCGCGATCTAACACACTACATCGACGATCTGATCGAAAAGACACTAGCCCTCCCAGTCAACAACCAAACCGACGTGAAAACAGAAAAGGAGTTCAATTTAGTCGAAGATCTTGTCTCTACGCATCCAAACGATCGTTATTTCATCCGCGGTCAGCTCATTGCCGTCCTGATGGCATCCAAAGACCCTGGTGCTATTTTGACGACTTGGACGATATACCACCTCGCCCGCGACCCAGTGTTGTGGAAGAAACTACAGAGGGAGGTGGAAGAGCAGTAAGTGCATCATATGTTTCCACGGCAGCATGAAAGACAGGGACATACCACTAACCGACCTCGTTTCCACAGCATCGGTCTGGACACCCTTCCCACGACCTCCCAACTCCGCAAACTCGACCTCCTCGCCAACACCGTCAAAGAATCGATGCGCATGTACCACCCCCTCGGTCTCAATATCCGCGAAGCCCGCACTGACGCCATCCTACCCGTCGGCGGCGGTCTAGAAGGCAAAGAACCTATTTCCGTTGCGAAAGGCCAGATCATCGTATACTCAGTCGCAGGTCTACAACGCAACCC